AAAACAAAAAAAAACAAGCCTATCATATTTTCATCATATTAACGATGCTCCAGAAGATACCACAACAAAATTACTGGACATTTAATAAAAGGTAATCTTAACCACTCCCACAAATATCTGTACCAAAGTATCTTTTTTCGTGGACTTGACTTTCTCTGAGCCATTGCTGAAAAAAAAAAGCTCTAACAACATTTTTACGCGTTCGTCAAAGACTAGTGTAGACATACGGATGAATATGATTGCCATGTGTCTATCTGTGTGGAAATATGTACAGTGTTTAAACTTGAAGAAATAAAGATGCTATGATTTTAGCTGTAGGTTTCATTTGTTGATTCAGTCATGGAGGCTTCATTTTAGTGTATCATTCCTATTTAAAAGTGTTTTCCCAATCTTAACCAAAATTACCTTGATAAAGTTAAGACTACTTATAATCCAACTAGCAGGTTATAGACGTTATCCCACATTTCTATTGGTTTAACTAGACTCTTTTTCCACCCTATCGACTACTATTTATTTTAGAGTTATTATAATTATTCTTTAACTCTTTGATTGCGGTCACTTTTGTATTTCTGTACTTCCCCTCACGAAGCTAATGTTAGTTTAAAGCCCAATACAGAGCTACGTAATACTTTGAACAGCCAGCTTTTCACTTCCACAGCAAAGTTTTCTACTGATAGCCTCAAATATAGGACAAAAATACAGCCTGACGCTTATTCACGTCATTATTTTTATAATACATCATTCACCTTGGACTGAGAGGAGACTTGAAAAATACCTGAAACATCACCTGCTTCACATAAACGTGATCCATACGTAGTGAGTATCTTAACTTCGTGGACGACGCAAACAAAAAAATAGATACAAATTAACCTAGCTATAGACCAGAGCAAAGAGCAGCCCTAATATGCCATGACATTAATTAAATACGTTAAGATCACAAGAGTGACTACTTGGCGGATTATGAACTAATTACACGAAAACTTGCTGTTGAAATATCTTCACGGCAAAGGTTCCAAAGAAATTCAGCAAAGGAGGTTAAAAGTGAATTAAAAACAGGATTAATGAGAAAGTTGGTGCTGTTAACGTCTGTTTGCTGACATTGACGGGTACCACATTGCAGGTTAAGCTAGGCCTGTTATGGACGGTTAGGCATCAATGGCAGATCTTGTTCTTGCTATAGTCTCTGTTCTCTAATTATAATCAAAATAGAGAAACGAACATCCATATAACATTTCTTTATTGTAACTTTCTCCTGACAAAGCATGGAAACTGTCTTTGCGAGCACTGACAACGATTTTATGGTGGGTGTAAGTAAACACTCTAGTCATGTAAAAGCTCAAGAAAAATGGCCATCTTCCATAGTACATGAAGACTGACAAGGTCAGTTCATATGGTTTGTTTGTAATTAAGCACAAAGCTACACAATGGGCTATCTGTGCTCTGCCCACCACGGGTATCGAAACCCGGTTTCTAGCATTGTAAGTCCGAAGACATACCGCTGTGCCATTGGGGGGCAGTTCATATGGCAAAGAAGGCTAATTTCAGAAATGCAAAAATCATACTATAACAAGAGAGAATTATTGGTCCAAGATCGAAAGACTAAAGCTATCATTGAATATCAATTTCCATAGATGCAACTGCATCTCTCGATCATGATTTGGAGTGAATAGTCTTCAAAGAGTCTAATGGAAGAGGAGATGGCCATGCATACCAGTCTGTCATCATTCAATACAACGATAAAAGTAACTTCAGCCCAAAGCCTTTCCATTTGATGGGTTATTAATTTAGCGTTATTACTTTGCTTCTCTCTCTGACTTTAGCTATTTCTTTTGTTAATATAATATTTTGTCGTTTACACTGGGTTTTTGTTACATAATTTCTAATTTGAGGTAATGTTACCGATTATTTCCAATGTTTCTTATTAAAATTCTTGGCCAGTTTAAAGTCTCTAAGTCGTAAATCTTGGTATTGTGTGATGATACGTTTTTTTTGTTTTTTTTTTGCTAAGAGTTATTTTGCATTTGTTTATCCTATGAAGTTTAATTAAATTAAATATAGCTTTAAATGTAGTGCAGCTTCACTATAAAGCTTCTATGTTATTAGGCTACCTAACTTTTGTGGACAGCGTTTTGGATCGTGATCCAGATTTAGTTTACACTATGCACCTCTAGATACAGCTATGCAAAATTTCATTCACCAGTTTTGCCTACTTTTGATTCTAGAGCTACTTGAATTTTCAAGAAAATTTCAAACTTTTCAGTACTCACAATCTTTGTCCAGCAATGATAATAAGAAAATGGCGAAAGTATCATATTTATTGGTGGTAAGAATGTGAAGGGGAAATTTCAGTGTGCACACTTTTGCGAAGTTTGATTGCCAAAAAATGTGAAACCTGCTTTGAAATGACTATTTCGCCTTCATTCGCTGCTAGAAAAGCAACGCTAAAATATTATGAATACAAATTGAAGGAGCAAACTCTGGACTGAGCGCTTGTGATGCGAGCATCTAACAACCTCGACCATTGGATGCTTACTTTATCTTCGAAATTTTACGCTAAATACTAATCCTAGCGCTAGCAACATGAAGCAATGAATTCAATCTGTGTCTACACAGCTGAGACAGTTATTACTTCTTTTTAGTTTTAAATAAATATTCATTCTTGAAAGCATGTCACATTATGGATGAGAAATAACATCGATCAATACTTAAATGTGTCTTAATCTAGTCCAGAGTTCCTTTCCCAAAGTGTCGTTCAGCATTACTGCTGTTTATGGCTCTTTCTCACACGCTCCCGTCCTTAAAGATAAAACACTTTTCAATCCCGTGTAATCTACTTGATAATGTGTATAATATTACCAATATTCTGATTTGCATATTACTTCCCTGTATGAGTCATTTTCTTTTAAGTTCTAGTTAAACAATTATGATTATAGTGTGGAAGTAAATTGGGTTGACGAAACACATAAAAATACGTAAAATCCGACCCAAAATACTCAAGCGAAAAAAAAAAAACAACACAAAAACTTAAAATTCTAATTTAGCTCAAACAGTATGTAGTGCTTTATAAACGCAGCAAAATAAAGCAACTTGATATTTCTCACACTAATTCAGCTTGGCTCCTACTTCACCTAACAATTATCACTGAGTTACACTGAACAAAATGTGATGTGGTGAATTAGGAGTTAAGGTGAACGTAAATTACATGTTACAGCACATGAATAAAATGATTAAATAATATCAATCCCAGGTTGCTCTGTTTTGCTGTGTTTATGAGATATCACCTACAGTATGGAGTAAAACAGAATTTAGGCTTCTTATTTCGAATGGATAAAAATATAATAATAATCATAAAATTTTACATAAACGAAGCTAAATAGAGAGACATTTCAAAAATAAAGTCTAAAAACAAGACTAATTCACTTGTAGGCCACCAAATCATTGTATCATTATACACGGTTATTAAGACTCATTACTCACACGTAGTAAGTGACTTCTGTATTTAGCAGATCATGCAAATACGAAAGCTTAACTTAAGTTTTTGAGTTAAATAGACAGGTGGAAAGACATACTTCCATAGCGAAAATAAATATCTAAATTAGAAGTGACATCTCTTAACGATATCTACAACTACACTGTAGCGAGTTGGCTATCTTCTGAGACGTCACCTCACTTTCGTGACATCATTCCCAGTTTCTTCCCTTGTCTTACCTGTATCATTCGAGAAAAGTGACATCATTTGTTTCTTATATAACCTTGTCCAGTTGCGTCATATTTCCTTTCATCTTATTATTTTATTTACTAGTCTCAAAGTTTCATTTGATAACACATAATCAACACAAATTGTTAAATAATGTTATCATAGAATAATGGAATCAGAATTTCTTAATTCGAACGGCTAAACGGCCAGGTCAGAGTCTCCTGGGAACCAGACATAGCTGTCCCTAATTTTCAATTTCTGACAAGAGTTAGCAGCACCTTTTGCTAAAAGGAGTTTGTTCATCTCTTTGAACTGAATAACGGGGTTGACTTTTACTTTTATAACGCATCCACATCTACACGCGTATAGCGTGTCCAGCGGCATAACGCCTCGAACCTTGGACCCTATGATCAACAGCCCGATCGCTAAAATTAGGGAAGCTGAATAATCCTTTTTTCGTGAGATCTAATTATTCTATTCTTTCTCTAATAAAAAGGCTTCAAGTACTTTAACAACCACTAAGTTACTTCTGAAGACTTAAGATCAAAGAGTTTTGCCATACTAAAGCGTTTAAAAATTCACGTTTTGTTCGCTTTCACAAACTAGAATGTCTTAGAAGTTTATAAAGCCGAAAATATCGTAAACAATGATGGTACCCAACTGATGAAACATAGCATTCTAATCATTATAATTAGTACAGTTTGGTTATTATATTTAAATAGCTATGCTCGTTACTAGGTACATATGCTTAGTTCTGATCTATCTAGGTAGCTTGCTTTGATCAGAAGTTACTATTAATTATTTTAAAAATATTAAGATTTTCACTTCCGTATATTCAATAAACAAATAAGATATCTAAACGCATTCAATGACATTTTATCAGTTTAATAATAGAGTTTAATTACTTTGTCATCAGAAAACTGAGTGCAGCTTTGTGTTCTGAAGTAAATAATAATGATATTAAAATAATGGTATACTAAGCCATCTGCCTTTTAATTAATAAAAAACAACAAAAAAAAAACATAGTAGAAATTATATTGATAATCTATACAACATATTTGGATTGATAATGCTGCTAAATGATAAACCTAATTTGAGGATCGATACAAGTATACGTAAATATATATACTAATTTGTAAATATACGTACATAAAGAATGGGAGAGCTGTATAAATTAAAACATTAATACAGTGAAATAAATAATCACTTGGTCCATAATAGAACAATGATACGATTTAACAAACAGTAAATGTATATATACAACTTTGTTAAATAATCTATAGAACTAGAAAAAAGGCGCAAGTCTTATAGATCACTAACTACTTTTCCACTTTTGGTCTGGTTATTCCGATTACTATCTTTATACGTTTCTTTCCTATGGGCATAGATGTTTAGACCAGGAATGATGTGTAACCGAAGACCTATTCCAGTTCCTTCACCCTGTCTAGAAACCTGCTGCCTTCGAGAGAAGGTCACGTGGCTTTTGCAACAGCAGTAATAAAAGAGTTTGTTAAAGACTTCCCGGAAGTTACGATTGGTGGCTGCGTAAAGGTAACTATAGATACAGGAGTTGCTGAGGGCTGCCCACCAGGAATTGTCCAGTAGTTGCTGAGAAACTGGACGAAAGGTACTGATGGTGGCCACTGTTATGCCCGGAATCCACATCACTAGCATCAAGACAAATACCACGATGTTACTCTTCAACAGATACTCATCTGTCAAAACGTAGGCTCGTGGATCTTCCAAAATCTCCATCTGAGTTTTGAAGCTCTTCAGTTTAAAGACAGACATAAAAAAATATCCCATGGTGACTAGAGTTGGTATAATGACGAACATGACCCCAGCCATGACATGATAAGGAACCCAGACGGGAGCAGAAGGATTACAGAAGGACGGCCCAAATCCTGTGGCCTGCTGACTCACTGCAAAGCCAATGGATATTACCCAGATGGTTGTTACAACAAGAACGATCCTATTTTTTGTACAACACTGTTCATAGTTAACTCTATCGCCCAATCCGAGAAAGTTCTCCACTGACATAAACATAAAAGAAAATACAGATACGAGGAAACAAATTACTGTGGTCAGCCACTTGAAATTACAAATTCCACGGTCATTCGGAATGGACGCTAGGATAGCTATACACGATGCCGGGACAACAAGAGCAGTTGTCAATAAGTTAGCAAGGGCCAGATTAACCAAGTAAATACTTCCTCGTACTTGTAGTGACTCCAGAAGAGTTACTGCACTGATAATGAAAATACTTCCCATGCTGCCTATAGCTGCAAGGGCCGAAAGGAAAATTAGTCTGGATACTCCATTCCAGCTGATTAAGTCGTCATTGTCTAGGCCAGTCTTTATCAGTTGGCTATTAGCCGGTGAATGCAACCAATGTGGCCACGTTGTTAGGTTGACTGCCATTTGCACGTCGGACCTGACGAGAAGGAAAAATACGAGAATAAGATTTCACAAATAAAACTAAGTGTTTATGGTTGATACACTAGTCTTACGCACCTGGTGATAGTATTTACAATATATAAAAAAAAGTTTCCATGGTAATTATGGGTGGGCCAGTACTTTCTGTTTTCAGTCATTATTTTTTACACTGTCACATTATGCTTTGTATAATATATAAATAAAAATATATAAATATATCAATAAGTGCTAACTTTCAAAACGTTTTAGTTTATTTTGTTGTTAAACAAAAAGTTACAAAAAGGGCTATCTGTGCGATACCCATTGCGGATATCAAAACCCGATTTTAGGCGTTATAAGTACACAGACTTGCCGTTAAGTCATCGGGGATCAAATGTTTTAGGAAGATTATGTGTTGTGACAGTATTTCTAATAACACCAGTTTCCACGAGGTCGTTTTCATCTGTAATAGTGAGAATTACCATGAGTAATTTTGACACTGAAAAATATTCATCATAGAAAAACATGCCAAATTTGGAAGAAATCTGCAAAAGCTGGTATTAGTTGAAAGTCCTAAAATATTTTTAAACCGATATTTGTATTCCGCTTAAATCCGTATTTTAAGGTTTTGGTGAATTTAGGTTATTTTCTAAATATAACACGTATTTAAATGCAAAAAATGAAATCATTACATATAAACACTGAAGCAAAGTGTACAGAACTACAAGAATTCTGCTTTAACTCTTGTTTTCTAACAAGAGTCACGAATTTGATTTTTTCTATCTATGTCATGGCGGACGTAGAAGCTACGTAAATTTGGTCTTAAAGAAATTGATTGAGTTGTGAGTTTTTAACAGCGTTTATGCGTGTATTTAAAAGTTGAAGTATTACTTTATTAACATTATAATTGGTTGTAAAGTTTTGTTTTATTTTAAGTTATTTAATAGTGTAAAGTTTGCGTTTATTTTTTTGAAAGTTTAGTGCAAACGAAGTTGCCTTATGTGCTTAACTAAATGGCTGATCCTCCCGGTTTAGGGTTAAGCTATGCCCAAGTCGTAGAACATTCAAGGGCAAAGACACGTCAAAATGGAACTTTACAAAATCAAAGCAAGTTGACAGAGAAAACTCTCTTACGACAGAACATGGCATCGTAATTCTTACAACGAAAGAGATTGTACAAGACGATGTATTCGAGGCTATTAAAAATTTAGGTATTTCACCAGAACAGGTGAAACTCACTAGTATTTGGTGGATTTCAAAATTCATGTATATTTTCATGACTGTTCATGGGCGATGGAGCTAATTGAAACAAGTATGGACATTAAGTATTAGCATTTTGAAATTAAACCAGCAGCTTTAACTCTAACGAAAGTTGTTGTTTCTAACGTACCACCTGAAATAAGTCGTTGAGTTGTAAGAAAATTGTGTTCAAATTTTGGAAGGGTAGTCGGTCCTATTCGCACGTTGCCTGTGTCAACACAATATCCAGAGTTTATACACGTTAAAGGTTTTAGACGACAAGTGTACATTGAACTGATTGAAGATAATGATTAAAAAAACCAAGCCAATTGAATTATTTTTCAGGTGGTTATCATTATACATTTTATGTAAGTTTGTCGATGCATTGTTTCAATTGTAAGGCTTATGGGCATGTAAAAATATATATATATATATATTGCCCTCAGTTAAAGGAACATGAAGAACCAGTAATTGTTGATTTAAATAATGAACACATGACAGAAGAAGATCCCCAGTTGACAACATTTAATACCAATAGAGCTGGGCAGCGCCATATTGATCTAGGGACAGCAGGTATAGAAGTACAATATTATCAGAAAGAAGAAAATGAACAATTAATTGTTGATACTATTTTTACGTCTCTGGTCGTTAGTTAATTTTCCGTAAAAATTATTTCCGAAGAAACTTTAGCGATACAAGTCCTTTCTTAAATAAAACTGGTTTATTCTTTCTGAATACAACTTTGAAATTCACTTAATTTCCACGGTCACGCTATAGCTTAAACAAACGCTATAATTCACCACGAACGACTCACGTGCTCGACTCAATTTGCATCACTTCTTGGCCGTCTTATATACAAGAATACCGTACATCTAGTAAACACTCGAGGCTTCAAGAACCTTCGAGACCCTTGCTGTCGTAACACTATCTTTAAAAAAGATAGTGTTATGAAGAAAACGATAGAATTAGAAGCTCAATTAGAACAAGAAAATCAAACTGTTACAAAAAAGGTGAGAAATAACACATACCAAGAAAACTGTAAAGTATTAATTAATTGATACGACCGATTTAGAGGAAAAGGTACGGACTGATGAACAAAATGGAATTATTATGAAAGAAAACGATAATTCAGAACCAAATGAAATGACTGAAGGTAGTAATATGAAGGAAACGATAGAAGCTCAATTAGAACAAGATAATTGAACAGATATAATTGATGTAAATAAACAATAAAATGTTATAAAAAAGATAAATAATATAGGCCAAGATAATCATAAAGCAGTAATTAATATGACTGATTTAGAGGAAAGGGTAGAGACTGATAAACAGAATTGAATCAATACAAATGGTTTGTTAACCAAATCTCTTTCACAAATTAATTTAAAACGTAATGATGATAGTCAAACAAGTTTATGTAATGGTTTAAAGAAAAATTAAAATGATGATTTAAAATATAGAGAGTGGCGATGAGATTTTTGAATGGCTATTATCAAAATAAAGGTTTTTGAATTTTGTAAAGAAAGCTAAAGGATCGTCTAACAATTAGAAGTGGCTTTGAAATATACAGACAACATAACAGGGTTGTTACACCAAATAGAGAAACTGAGAGAACATATTGCAAGTAAAAATGATCAGAATAGTGTAAATAGAAGGAAAAGATTATATTATTTATTTAAAAGTTTAAGTGAAAAATTTGAAAATTTAATCTAAATGTATGTACGTATTACTGGTGTTAAATTTGCATTCTAAGTTTTCTTTTTTTCCATTTTCTTTTTTTTATGGCAGTTATTGCTATACAAAATGTTAGAGGTTGCTCTACAGATATGAATAACCGAGTGGTTAAAAATGATATTATGCGTCATAATGCAGAAATTATTGTATTGCAAGAAACTAACGTTCATGTAGAAAGACAATCTTTATTATGGAATAATTGTAATTATAATATAATTCATTCCTATGCTACACAACAGCATTTATCTGGCGTTTGCATAAGTCATGTGGAAAAGAAATGGCATTTATTTATGAGAATATAGATAATATTTTGCATGTATTGATAAAATCAAGAGTTAAATGTACATATATTTGACGTGTATTTACCACAATGTGACAAAAAAGCACACGAAAGTTTAGATTATATTGAAAAACAATTGAATGAAATACAAAACAATGATTTGGTATGTTTAGCTGGAGATTTCAATGTAACATTAAATACAGAATTAGATCTTATACCTTCGGGAGAACGTGGATTTTATATAGTTGATAGATTAAAGGATTTTTTAAATCAGTTTGGTTTATTCGATGTTTTTCGACATCTTTATCCCAAAAAGAAGAAATGTACTTGGACTGGACAAAAAAGAAGGCATTGTATTAAAAGCTAGATTGAATAAGTTATATGTTGACGAGAATTTTCGGACAGTCGCATGTAAATACGTTCATTTCTGATCATGCAGCAGTAGTTGTACGACATACATAAGTTTTGAGTAGGAATAAGAAGGGTTGCGCTTATTGGCGTTTTAATAATAAATTATTGGAAAATACCAAATATGTAAGTGAAATGTACCAAATTATAACAGGTTTTCAGACCCAACAAAAAAGGAAGATATTTTAAAACGTTAGAGTGTGGTGAGATCGTTTAAAAGGAGTAATTAAAGCACATACTCAATTATTTCAAAGAAAAATTGATTTAAAAAAGAAATGGGAGATAAAGCATTTAGAAATTAAGTTATCTCAGTTATCCCAGACTGACAATATGTATCGTATGTTCGAAGAAGTTTTGAAAGAACTTCGTATAAATCGAGCCAAACGCTGTGAAATTTATGAACTAATCCTAGGAATCAGAGAAATTAATATCCCTACATTTTATTTTTTTAGATTAGGACAAACACCCAGTACACAAAAAACTGTATTAACAGCTTTAAAGGATAAAAATGGTACGGTAACTCGGAATTTAAATAAGTTCTATAATTATTGATTTTTTATAAAATATTATATTCAGAAGAAACGGTAAATGAAATTAACAATTCTTTCTTTGAAGGTTTACCGAGGTTACCAAAAAGTGTAAAAGAGTCTCTAGATGCTCCATTAACGCTTACAGAAATAACTGCCGCTTGCCAATCATTACCAAAAGATAAGTTTTCTGGAACTGATGGCATAACGGTTGAGTGGGTAGTAAAATTTTGGCCTAAAATTGGCATTTCTCTACTAAAAGTTTTTAATGAATCTCTGGAGACAGGTGAATGTTCTAGAAGTATGAAAACACCAATAATAAAGTTAATACATAAAAAATTGAGATTTGACAGAATTAAAAAATTGGCGACCAGTATCACTTTTATGTAGTGATTATAAAGTAATTTCTAAAGCCATAACAAACAGAATGAAACCTGTTGTGAGTCAATTGATTTATGAGAGTCAGACTTGCTCTGTTCCAGATTGATATATTTATGATAATATACATGATATAATAAACCTCACAAATCAAAATAACGAACGTTTACCTATTGTAAATTTAGATCTTGAAAAAGCCTTTGACCGCATAAATCATAATTACTTAAAACTTTACTTAGAAAATTTGGTGGGAATATTATAAAGGCGGTTGACGCAGTGTATAAAAATCCTATATTTTTTGTAGTTCATGGGTCGGTTTCAACTTGAGCTATTCCTTCTAATAACTAATTTGATAACTAATTTTCAAAACATTTTTATAAGATTTGTTTGGAGGAAAGCTCATTGGGTTAATAGAAATACTTTATCTTTTGAAGATAAATTAACTATTTTTAGGAT